GCAGGGAGCCCGATGTGGGGCTCGATCCCAGGACCCTGGGATCATGACCTGAGCCGAAGGCAGACGCTTAACGACTGAGCCATCCAGGCGCCCCTTATTGTATTTTTAATTTAAAAAATTATAGATACATGTTATTAATTCTTAGAGTCTGTATACTTGGCTCTTGGAGAAAACCCAAAACCCTAATGTTCTCTAGAGGGAATCTGGATTAGGAAATCTGTGAATGTACTTTTCTAGTTTCACCTACTTTTTGTATAGTTTGAATATGATCATGAAAGCTATAACCTGGAATCACGGTCCTTTATTTCCAGTCCCTGTTTCATATTCTTAACACCATACACTGCACCTCGAGAGGGGCATTGGCCTTTTACTTACTCTACTTTGGGATTATATAGAAAATATTAGGGCTACAAGGGACCTTCCAAAGCAGTTAGGCCAAGTTCTTATTTTAAAGATGAGGAAACTACTTTTCTTGAGGGGATTAGTGACCTATTCAGGTCATGGGGCAAATTTCTATCTTTGAAGATCAAATACAGTTTTATAGACCATTAATAAGGGATATGTTAAACTTCATTTCTATGGCATTGCTGGGAAATAAGATGTTAGAATTCTGTGGAAGTGAAGTTCTAAGGCAACTGAACCTTTAGATGTCATAACTTCGTATTTTTAACCCATATTTGTGTGATTACAAAATGTTTTTGCCTTCGTTAATGTAGTATAAGTGTAACCTGAAGTTTTCTGGATGACTCTCAGTCTGTGTTCTGAAGACAGTTATTATGTCGGGTTGTAATATAACATTATTACTTGGCTTTACTTTTTGAGTTTGTTTGTTTGTTTATTTATTTACAGGTTTTCTCTTTTCTTATTGCCAAATTGGCAGCTCTCTTTTATTTCAGCTGTGAAGATAACTGACACAATACTTTAATAATTTCTCTCCACGGAGTGCCTGGGTGGCTCAGTCAGTTAAGCCTCCGACTCTTGATTTCAGCTCAGGTCATGAATTCAGGGTCATGAGATCGAGCCCAGCATGGGGCTCCCTGCTCAGCATGGAGTCTGCTTGAGATTTTCTCTCCCTCTCCTCCTGCCTCTCCCGCTTGTGCTCTTTTTCTTTCTCAAATCAATCTTTTTTTTTTTTTTAAGATTTTATTTATTTATTTGACAGAGAGGGTGAGACAGTGAGTACAA